CCCCCGCCCCCCCCCCCCGCCCCCAACGGCTGCCTCGTGGCTACAGAGAAGCCGCTCCCTTGCAGGAGAGAGGAGGCAGCGAGAGGGCTGGTGAGTCGCTGGGAAGAACTGCCACCGTCCCCTTCTTCAGATAAAGGAGTACACGCACTGCTGTAATCGCCGGGGCAGAGAAAATTCGTTCTCCAGATTTTCATCTCAAACGATCGACTCTCAGAGAAGTCAGATCCCGCCTCTTTAGTTCTCCCCCGCATCACTGAAACCTAGCTATGGATCAAAAAAATCCCCGTTTCTTCTCTTTTAAGAAAGCGTGGCTGAATTAATCCCGCGAAAGTGAAATCAGTGCTTCTGGACGTCCGAATGCGCTTTCTTTCCCACCTTGCCGGGTCTCCTCCCCTTGCAACTTTCGATTCTGTTTATCCAAGACATTTCCTTAACCATTTAGAAAAACCCGAGGTCCCGGAGTGTCGCTTCCTCCGCATAAAGTTTGTCAGGCCCTTTCAAGAAAAAATAGCTGGGTCTTAAACTGTTTTGAGAAGCAGGTGCAAAGCACTCAGGAAAAATATACTAGTTCTGGTCAAAAAGAAGCAGAGGAGGGAATGGCGGGCACCCAAACTCTAGCTCCTCCTCCTCTTTTTTTTTTTGTAATGTGGATGCAAATACATTAATTTCTGTAGATTCGTATATTCTAATGAAATTAACGCGATTTACCTCCCAGTGGGGACCTGTAGGAACGGCAAAGCAGCCTCTGTGCATTTGGGAACGAAAATTACTTGCTCTAAGAACTTGGGGATGGGGGACACAATATTGCAACTCTGGAAACGGAAGAGGAAGGAAAGTGGTCTTCGCCCCTTTTCCAAACGGCGTGGGGAACGGGAGACGCTGCGGGAGCCAGCCTCAAAAACGGGCAGTAGCATTTCCCACAGAAAAGTTACTAGTCTAACTTAAATAGCGCGCGGAAAGACTCCGCAGGGGCGCTGGCGCTCGGTTTGACGCGCCGCACTAGACGGTGAAGGCTGACTTTTTTGGCGAAGGATCTGCATCTAATTTGCAACAGACGGAGGCGATGCGGAAGGCGTCCCAAGCCAAGTTAAATTCTCCTTGCAATAAAAGTGCAGTTAGACTTTCCTTGGGGTTTTAGCCTAGAGAGGAAGGGAGGTGCAAGCTAAAGGAAATACCAACCCCGCCGCCCCCAACTTTCTCACTTGCCCTCAGGTCGTGAGATAAGGGAAGGGCCGCCCGGATCAGCACTGGATACACATTGCAGGCTTCTGTAGTATCTCACCACCCAGCGACTAGCGCGTGTGCTTCCCATTAACCATCTTTCGGCTCAATATCGTTCGCCTTTCTTTCCAAATAAAACCCACTGGATCCAAAGGGCCTCATTCCCTGGCAGGCATGTTTAAGATTCCAACGGTCCAGAACAGATACACCTTGAGTGATTCTTTCACACAATTTTGTCATTCCGTCTTGCTGTTTGGCTGGGTGCTTAAGGAAGAAAGGATCTTAATTGAATTCCTGAAATCAAATGGCTTCACGCAACCGCCAAGGCCAATCACGGCGGCAGACGCGAGTAACAGTACTGCAGCTGGGGGCAGGTACCTCGATTTGGCCTCCGTGTTCACCCTCTTGTTCAATGCAGCAGCATGATATGGATCTGTCATCGATTCTGAGTGTCTTAATTCAAATATCTCTCCCTGATCCTTTGTTCTGTTGAGGGGAACTCTGAACAGTCGATGCAAGGTTGGGAGGATGGGTGAGGATCATAACCTTGCAGGTGGGAGTGATCATTCCGTTTGGGACAATGTGGACAATAGAGATAAACTTCTTCGTTAGAAGGTGCTGTTGAACAACAGGGCATACAAGATATTTTTGAAGAGGCCTGACCTCATCAACACAAGTTTTGTACACCTTGAGGACGTGAGATTTTGCATCTTGTACATTCAGAACATGGCCCGGGCAATCCAAGGGCTGAGAACCCCATCCTGTGAACCCAGGATCATCATTTTTGTTATCCGAGCCAAAACAGCAAATGATCCCTACTGCAAGTGCAGACAGACTTCTCAAGACTTTGCTCCTTCCCAGCCATTATCATCATCATTATCATCACTATTGTCATCACCACCACCACCACCACCATCCCGATTGTTAGTTCGGAATCATGGAGTGGGGAGTAGTGGGCTCGCTTCAGAATAAAGAATAAAGTGGTGTAGGATCGCATGATTATTATTAAGCAATCAGTCTGTAAAAGCAGGCCTATCTAACCAGAATTCCTTCTTCGAAATTGTAGAGGGAGAGAAATGCATGTTTTAGTACTGTGGGCCATTCAGAACCCACAGGAAATAGGCAGATATTCACTCACGTTTATGGTGTAAGGGGTATTTACTTTAATTCTGAAATATCTGTTCTTCCATTTACGTTGCCAAATGCAGTATCTTCTTCAAACCAATTACTGTAATAAGTCTCAAATCTCTTTGCTTTCTCCTTCTTGTTTGTTTATTTGTTTTTTATCTCCCTTTCCCTCCTTTCTATTTCAGTTCACGGCACGTTTCGTAAATCAGCTCTCTAGAGTTCGTGTTTTTGTTTGCTTGCTGTTTAAGGCATTTGTTTGAGGCGGCATTATGCAAATATATGATAATGATCTCGAAACCCATTTGCAAGTAGTTGTCTTTAGTGCACACATGTTATTGATATTCGGGGGGTGGGGATGATATTCTAGAATAGAGAAAAATGCCTTCTGGGGAATAATTAAAACGAGAGAGCAATTAACAGCTTTTCTCAAGATCTTTAAAAAAAGCCCTGCCAGCAGAACAGGCACCACATTCTTCAGGCACATGCAGGCGCGCGTGCGCGCGCACACACACACACACACACACCCAACACACTGGATGAAGTCAATTAAAAGCTAGTGGTTTTATTTGCATGACTTGTGAAGTTGGGTTAGTTTTCACCTTGGTTAAAGTCCTTCCTTCCTTCCTTCCTTCCTTCCTTCCT